TGTTTTTTCGACATTTTTTGAAAAACCTGCGATTAGGCTGCGAAAGTAGAACATTCCGGAGGGGGTGAAACGGAAGATCCAAGCTTAACACGTAAAAATAGAACGCGTATTTTGACCTCTCCGTGGCCAACCAAACGTTTGCGCTCGTTGCCAAAAAGCTCCGCGTCCATCGCCTGGCGATGCTACGTTTTGAAACCAAAGCTAAGTGCTTCAAACCACTCACCAAGGTATGGATTATTGCAATATTGGATTCATCGTGAATGAAGAGAAAGCAGAACGTGTGCGCCACATGCTGAGTGGTTCATCTCACATCGTTAAGTTCCAATGAGTTTTTACGTAAAAACACAAACAAAACGGCCCTTTTCAGGGCCACCACACACTCCCAAAAGAGAACTACCGTAACAAACACACTATTTAAATAAACCAAACGCGTTCGTTTTTGACAAATAATACTTTATTGTTGACCCCGTTCTTGGCTAAAAATCACCCTGGGCGTTTAACAGAGGATGTCCCCAACATATAACTTTTGTGAAAACAGGGGGGTGGGCGCTTGCCCAGGGAAGGGCGCGTGCCCGGGGTAATACGGTATAATTGAAATAATGGACTCTGCACTGCCTATTATTGCATGTTATATGTCACTTTTATCAGAATTAGAGATTTTTGTGATGTCATAGCTTTACATTTTTAGACGATAATGTAAACCTGTATTTGCAAATAAATTCATTTCAACAAAAAGCTTCCTAATTTAACTAAATTTGTTTAATTCTGATAATGGTGATTTATAACTGCAATAGTGAATCCTCCACAGTTCATTTTGGATTCTGAGAAGAGTCTATACTTCGTCTCGTGCATTATCTTGTTATAGACCTACTGGGGTATTTTCTAATCCAATATAACATTGTGGGTGATTCATTATTGTTTCAAAAGCGCGGCTTAGATTTGGATGGTCGCTTAAACAATGCTTCTCACCCATTATTGTCCTTGCTCTGTCATCACTCTTTATTTCTTGAATAATTTAGCTTGTAACTTTTAATTAACTTTTGATAAGATGTTGAATAGGTCATGAAAACCTGTCTTGATCAAATGTAATGTTCAATATATGTTTTCATCAGTTTGTTCATACATTCATTCCACGAATTTAGAATCTTTCAATGTGTCTTTTCTGCAGAATGTTGGATGATTTTGCAACAGAGATGGAGCGAACCGACTCAAAACTCGACGGCGTTATGAAGAAAATGGCAAAAGTTACGCGGATGTCAAATGGTATGTAGAAATACACCATTCATCAGTCACAGCTATCAGGCATTCCAGTGCTCGAGCAAATGTTTCAGCTAATGTGCATGTAAATAGTGCCGAATTCATGATTGCAACATTACCTCGTGTGCCTGTGACAGGAGAGGGGGGGGTGTGATTTTATAACCACTCGTTCTTGAGGTCTGTGATCCTCAGTATTTCGTGAATTGACTATGTACGTAAAGATACCAATATGTTATAAATTGTTTGATTCATTCTGTTGCTATGAATGAAAATCATATTTTCCTTATTTTATGAACATATTTCTCTAATACTTCTCTAATTTTAATATTTTTCCTTAAAATTATTTTTTTGATATACATTTAGTTCAGTATTAGACATAGCAGTGATATAAACATATGAGCGAGAGTAAAATGTATTGTGGATTTACATATCACCCTTTAATTAAAGCGGGGCAGTCGTCAACCGCGCATGCGTCAGATGGCCATAGCGTGTCATTGTTTACAAACAAGCGTCTACCCATGAGCCTTTGTGTTTTAGCGTGTGTTGTTATCGTTAACTATGTTTACACATACAGAATTCAAATTTACAGTAGATTTTAGTATAAATCAAATGTACTCTCAAGAAACAGCTGCATCAACATAGAGATTCCAAGCTTTTTTTTTATTGACTGTTTTTTGTTTGTTTTTCAGATCGAAGACAATGGACAGCGATTGTGGTACTCATAGTTATTATGATAATTGTCATTGTTTTATTCTTTTTACTTTAAGCAGTCATATTTATTATTAAAATCATAATCAAAATGTGAGTTTTTTGAGAGGCTTTTTAAAAAAAAAAAAAAAAAAATATTCACCACAGAGGGCGCCATTCAAATTATGCCTCCTGATTGTAATTGAGGATTCATTCATTCTATAAAATCCTATCTATAATTCGCTGCCTCGGCTGTGCATGTTAATTGATTAAGAATATGTTAGCCTATCAGTGAGAGCCTCTCAAAATGCTACTGATCTCACGTTTGTGATATCATTGTAAGTAGAAGTAACAGTAATTTACATTGGTGCATTCAAGGGGCATAATTTTTTCAAAGGTCATTTTTGACAAAGATTACAAAATATTGAAAGATTGACACAAAACACAGCCACAAAATATGGAAACCTGCCAAAAACCCAATTGCATTCTGGTCCTTACTAACATTTTCAGTGTATTACAATTTTGATGACAATGATGGAAATTTAGCTGAAGATTAGGTACCATATTTGCTCTATTAGCATGCATATAAATTACAGAGATTTTCAATGGTCAAATAATGTTTTATTGATTTAGTATTCGGCCAGTGCAATTTTTGGTTCATATGGCCTTCTATTGGAGATGAGCTTTTGATAAAACAAAACAGTATTTGCTCTATTAGTAGTGCTTAAAAAATTGCCAGATGAGGTGGGTGTTCATGGTCAAATTTAGTCATGTTTTAATGACTTGTGTGCATCTGTTAGAGATGTGCTTGTAATAGAGCAAATATGGTACTGTAAATATAAGATGTTTTATTTGTAACGTCATTTATGACATTGACAGTTCTGATTTTGTTTTTACTGGCAGTAATTGATTCAGTATACAGCGTAGGTTACTTTTAGTGTGCTCCTGTATAAAGTTTGTTGCCTTTTTTGAAAAAAAAAATGTCTGGCTCCTAAACCATGGCAAATGTTTGTTTATCGCCGAAGTGAAATTTATAACAGCTGACTTTAAAACAACTGCCAGGAAATTGATTTGTCTGTTATTTTGGCCAAACTTAGTTGTCATGGCTGCCACATCTACAAAGGTATTTTGCATGACCCTTAAAAGTTACTCATCCTAGTACAACGCCATTTGTGTGCTGTGATCGTAAAGAGACACTAATTTATGCGAGTCTGGAAAAATTTCAGATTTGGTAGCAACTAGTTTCCTGATATCATTATTTTTCTAACATTTGAATTTTCTAGCATTAAAAATTGTAATTTAGTTAGCTTCATTTTAGAGTAGTATTGTATAAGACGATTATAAAAAGAGGCTGTACATTTTCAGTTTGATCATAGTTCTCTCACAAACAGTTTACTTTGATGCGACAAACTTTAGCTTAAAGTTCAGTGTGAATTTGGTGTACCTAAAAAACACCAAATGAAATGTTTTTGGCCGACATGACGTAATTTCTGTAAGGTGGTAATTATAAACCTGTATGGCTGCAATCATAGAATACAGAGTAATGTACATAAAGAAAGGTACCATATTTTGTTCTATTCGAAGCTCATTTGTGTCTATGGTTAAAATAAATCGTATGCACTCATAGATCTTTCTTATAACTTTATTGGGGGGGTCTGTGAGCTATTATCTGACATACTTGGTGTGAATATACATGAATTGCAGAATATATCAGATGATTCAACAAATCATGGAGTCACTGTTTGTGAATTCCCATGCTTTGGAATACTCATGGAATTCCAACGCAATCAAATGTGAAGTTAACACGATTACCAACATGTGGACATGTATCACTGAAATTTAAATGTTCAGTAGATATTTCCGGCACTTCATTCAAACTGATACCAACGAACTCCAATAAAACTTTTGAAATGATCTTAAGTGATTCTGTTGAAGAAGACTGAGTAATCTATTAGCAAATGTGGTACCTGAATACCTGTTGCTGGCCTTGTTGCTGGCCTATCTAATTTCTGTTACTTTGGATGATCTGTCTCTTCAGTGCCTTGATGCATCATGCTTCACCACCGAAACAATTTGACGCTCATTGTCATTCTGCCGACACGTACAGTTGGCATTTATTTAAGTAGTAAACAGTGCTAGCAAATAGTAAACATTTTGGTTGTATTTACGATTAAAGTCAACATTTTATTATAGTCGTTCATTTCTTGTATTTATATTATGAAGGAACAGTTCAGTGAAATATTAAAGTGGATATATTGTAACAATTTTAATTAATTGATCAAAATTTGTAAACCCCCCTGCCTCCCTCCCTTCCCCCCTCCCTCCCTCCCTCCCTCCAATGTGTTTTATACCAATCTATATAGCATGACTGGTTTGTCTCTGTGTGAGTGACATCGGGTTTGTTCAGTAACACAAAACACAACAAACTGATTTTCGAATTGTTCCAACCATTTGTGTTACGCCGGCGTATCACGTCATAGCGTTATTAGCTAATGCTACATGATGCCTAAATCAGCAGGTCGCTAAATAGAAAGACGTTTATGAATGTTTTCCTTATTGAACTCCGCACACCCCGTGCTCTGATTTCCTAACATCATGAAATAGATTAACTTGAAACGTTTTTGAATAACTTAAATTTACCGGGATCATGTATAGCAATGTATTAGTTGAGTTGAACAACTCTGAATTATTTATTTATCGGTGTTTCTGATGGTGTTTCGGGAAAGTGGTTGTTAAACAAAATATTCGTATTCTGACCTCGTGAGGGCACACTAGTTGGTGTCTTTTTTTTTTCACAGTTGTCTTACTGTTTACCGACATTCGAACTAACTGATTTACTCACTGTTCAAAAATGGGATTTTTTTTTATTTTTTATGTAAAATTGAGACCATACTACATTAAGAGTTGTAGGCATAGTTGATCAGCCACCAGGTGATGTATTTGTTAATTTTAGACTTGAGACAGTTTTAAGTCAGAATTATAGTTTACTATGCTGTGAGCCCAGCTTTGCTGGTTTGTAAAGTGTTACAAGTGAAGGGCTTTAATCCATTCTTTGTGAATGAATGAATAAAAAATGTTTATAATAAAATTTAAAAAAAATCATCATAGTCATTTGTGTATGAATGCAAGTATGGTATTTTTGCACAGTGCAGTGGTGGTGTAATTATGCATATTGATATCCAAATTATTCACTTGGTGCTCAGAATTAGGAAAATATTCCTTCCAACATCACTCCGACCGGGCACTCCCACTCTCGCCAAAACCATACGAGATTTTTAAGATCTCATACCACCAAGTTGTTAGCCAATGGGTTTATGTCCCCCTGTGTTTTATCTGAAATCTGATGTGCGGGGGCGTACTTCAATTACGTCTGTTGTTAGGCTCGTGTGACCTGTGGATCTTGGCAACTTTTGATTAGACACTTCAGAACTTACCGTACTTCCTTTCTGAGAATATTGAAGGTAGAAAACCTGACAAATCTCTGTGTTCTGTTTACATCCATTTTGTTGGAGTTTGAGCTGGTGAACATGCGTTTTATCTGGCCAGAATTATGTTGTAAACATTTGGTTTCAACAAATTAAAACAATATTTTGACTTTGTAACCTGTTTTTTGTGTGTGAGAGATTCACTCAAACAATGACATTGTCATCTACGGAGTTCTAGGTATGAGCCCTAATAGCCCGACTACCATGCTGCTCATCTCAATATCGCCACCACTCGATAACACTTGGAAATGTTAGCTATTTGAAAATTCAATCCAATGAGCATGCGCACGGTGCCTTTTCCAAAATGGCGGATCGTTGATTTACATGTACCTGGGAGGTGTGCCAAATTTCTTGACTGATAAAACAGCCTTCAGGGCAAAGATCACTTATCATATCATCACCAGACCAGTATCACAGCGATTACTCTAGAACAACTTCTTAAAATTTGCCAGGTATACAAGAGCGTTCATCGTTAGTTCGAACAAGTGAGGTGATCTTGGATGTCAACAACATAATAATATTCTTGATTCCCATCTTGACAATGATCTGATTTCCAATCTCGTAATATCCCGTGCGTTACGTATTACATTCAAATCTGTACTGTCTGCAGCAATTGTCCGTGACCCGGATCTCCTCTTTATTCGCTGATCTTCTCTTCAATCGTCGTGGTCGTCCGAAATCACAACATGACTGCCACGAAAGTGAATCTAAAGGAAACAGAAATTATAAAACTCGTGCTGGAATTCCTTCACTCGAGAGAGTTGTTCTTGTCCATGCGAGCTGTTGAGAGAGAGACTGCAGTGGTCAATGGTCTATACTCTGACGATTTATTGTTTTTGCGCAGTTTGATATTAGATGGACAGTGGGATGATGTATTGGAATTTATCCAGCCTCTGGAGAGCATTGAGAGCTTTGATTCTAAGAAATTCCGTTACATCATTTTGAAGCACAAGTTTTTGGAGATGGTTTGCATGAAATCAGAGGACATGGGGAATCTGCAGATTGAGTTTTCAATTGATGAAGTTGTGGCTTGTATGCGAGATCTCGAACCGTATTGCCCAACGAAGGAAGACCACAACAGTCTCTGCTTGTTACTGACCCTGCCACGTCTGACTGATCATACAGACTACAAGGACTGGAACCCGAGTCGTGCACGTGTACAGTGTTTTAAAGATGTCATTCCCGTAATTGGGAAATTTTTGCCAGCAGATAAGAATATGATTGAATCAGAGTTCACGGCGAGTAACGATAGACTTGTTCAGTTGATGATCAAAGGTTTGCTGTACGAGTCCTGTGTAGAATTCTGTCAGCAAAAAGCCACATCAAAATCTGTGAATTTCTCAATAAAAGAATTGCTTTATGGGTCAGCTTGCGATGATGCAGATTTAAGTCTGTTGTCATGGTTACAGAGTATTCCCTCAGATACATTCACTTGTGCATTCGAGCAGAAAACATTGGATGTCCATATGGAGAAAATCGATAAGCCGAAACAATCTTGGTCGGAGCAGATAATGACACCATTGACACCCACGCCTGTGAAACAACGTGGTTCGGGTTACCCATCTCCTTCCCCCTCAACACCAACTCTCTATCGAGGTAGACCATGGTCTGGAGGCTCTCGGATGTTGACACAGTCAATGTCACCATCGGTTGAAGGGTATTTGCAGCGACGACTATCAGATTCAGAGCGTTTACCCCCAGGAGATGCCCTGTCTCGATCCTTTGCTAATTTTCATCTTCCTCCTACAAGTAGAAATGTTGGTGCAGGTATGCCTGGTCTTGCTGAAGATGTCGAGGATGGTATTTAGAGGAAGTTCCAGCAGTGGGAGGGGCTCGCCTTCTCAGTTGTCACCAAAACTGAAAGGACAGTCTGCAGGACAGCAGCCAATACAGGTA